AGTAGATTTGCAAACCTATGTGCCTTCAACAAACTGGTCATCGGTGGCACAATATTCCCGCACAAACGCATTCACAAAGCCACATGGATTTCACCGGATCACACTACTCAAAACCAAATTGATCATATCTGTATCAACAAAACGTTCAGAAGGACTATGGAGGATGTGAGAACCAGGAGAGGAGCTGATGTAGCCTCAGATCACCATTTGCTAATCGCCAAAGTGAAACTGAAACTAAAGAAGCACTGGACAACGGGACAGACAACATCACAGAAGTTTAATACGGCCTTTCTTCGGGATACTGTAAAGCTCAACGAATTCAAGATAGCCCTCACCAATAAGTTCCAGGCCTTACAGGATCTACACAATGGAGAGGACACAACATTGGAGAACAATTGGAAAGGGATTAAGGAGGCAATCACTTCAACATGTCAGGAGGTCCTTGGTCGCAAGAAGCAGCATCATAAGGAATGGATCTCTGTTGATACTCTCGCAAAAATTGAAGAAAGGAGGAACAAGAAGGCAGCAATCAATGTCAGCCGAACAAGAGCGGAGAAAGTTACCGCACAAGCTGCATACACAGAAGCAAACAGGGAAGTGAAGAAGAGCATCAGAGCTGACAAACGAAAATACGTGGAAGATCTAGCAACGACGGCGGAAAAGGCTGCAAGAGACGGAAACTTGAGACAATTGTACGTAACAACAAAGAAGCTCGCTGGAAACTATCGTAAACCAGAGCGACCAGTGAAAAACAAGGAAGGCAAAGTAATCAGCAACACTGAACAACAGCGAAATAGGTGGGTAGAGCACTTTAAGGAACTCCTAAATCGACCAGCTCCTCTGAAGACACCCAACATCGAAGCAGCATCCACGGACCTCCCAATTAATATTGGCGCACCTACGATTGAGGAGATCAGTATGGCCATCAGTCAAATCAAGAACGGCAAAGCAGCAGGACCAGACAACATTCCAGCAGAGGCAATGAAAGCAGATGTAGAAGCAACTGCGAAAATATTTCACATCCTCTTCAAGAAGATTTGGGATGAGGAACAAGTACCATCAGACTGGAAGGAAGGATACCTGATCAAAATACCAAAGAAAGGCGACCTCAGCAAGTGTGAGAACTACAGAGGCATCACTCTTCTTTCAATACCAGGCAAAGTCTTCAACAGGATATTGTTAAACAGAATGAAGGACTTCGTTGACGCCCAACTCCGAGATCAACAGGCTGGATTTCGTAAGGATCGATCGTGTACTGACCAAATTGCTACATTACGGATCATTGTGGAACAATCAATTGAATGGAACTCACCACTCTACATCAACTTCATCGACTACGAGAAAGCATTCGATAGCGTGGATAGGAAAACACTGTGGACTCTTCTTCGACACTACGGGGTGCCTGAGAAAATAGTTAACATCATACGGAACTCTTATGATGGATTCAACTGCAAAATCGTGCACGGAGGACAGCTAACCGACTCTTTCGAGGTAAAGACCGGTGTGAGGCAAGGTTGCTTACTTTCACCCTTTCTCTTTCTCCTGGTGATCGACTGGATTATGAAAACGTCAACAGTTGGAGGGAAGCACGGTATCAACTGGACAGTTAGGACGCAGCTGGACGATCTGGACTTCGCAGATGATCTGGCTCTTCTATCGCACACGCAACAACAAATGCAAGAGAAGACGACCAGTGTAGCAGCAGCCTCTGCAGCAGTAGGTCTCAACATACATAAAGGAAAGAGCAAAATTCTCCGATGCAACACAACATGCACCAATCAAATCACTCTTGATGGAGATGCCTTGGAGGACGTTAACACCTTTACATATCTGGGCAGCATCATCGACGAGAAAGGTGGATCGGATGCAGATGTGAGGGCACGGATTGGCAAAGCAAGGGCTGCATTTCTACAGTTGAAAAATATCTGGAACTCCAAACAGATATCAATCAACACCAAAATAAGGATTTTCAATACAAATGTCAAGACAGTTCTAATGTATGGAGCGGAAACATGGAGAACTACGAAAGCCATCATCCAGAGGATACAAGTGTTTATTAACAGCTGTCTACGTAAAATACTTCGTATTCGTTGGCCAGACACCATCAGCAACAACGTACTGTGGGAGAGAACAAGTCAGATTCCAGTGGAAGAGGAAATCAGGAAGAAGCGGTGGAAGTGGATAGGACACACTCTACGAAAAGCACCTAACTGCGTCACGAGACAAGCCCTCACATGGAACCCTCAAGGCAAAAGGAAAAGAGGAAGGCCAAAGAATACATTACGCCGTGAAATAGAGAAAGATATGAGAGGAATGAACAAACATTGGACAGAACTGGAGGAAGAAGCCCAGGACAGAGTTGGTTGGAGAAAACTGGTGAGCGGCCTATGCTCCATTGGGGGTGACAGGCGAAAGTAAGTAAGTAAGTATATATATATATATATTTATATATATATTAGTCCTATAACAAGTCAGCCACAACTCCAAAATATAAGTATTGAATTCTCGAGCTATGAAGATTGGGGACGCCGATTCAAATATTTCAGGAAGCAACAGTTCCATCAGAAACGCCGATGTGCCTTATTAATGAAAGCTGAAGTTACTTATTGACTGTTTTTAACCATTTAGTTGAATGTTGAGTTGCTGATAAACGCTATTCATGAAAGAATTATCGGTTTATAATACACATTATCGATTAGCATCAATATTCAGTTTGAAATGTATCGGCTGTATGGGTTAATATGCATGTAATATCTTTTTGTCCACTGCATAAAGTGTTTTAGACTATATATATATATACTCTTTACAGATATCATGCCTCTATTAAAGGAATCAGACACACCAAACCGTAACAAAATGAACGAATATAAGTAATTTATGACCAGTTTTTATTGTCTGTGTATGAAGTGTGGTATTCGATAACTTAATAATAACATCCTCGCAACATCCTAGATGATTAGAATTTTGTTAAACTTGAACTCAGAATGGTAGAGAAAAGAAACAATGGGTTTATTTATAGATTCATAAGTAATCTTGATATTTTGGTAACTTCTTAAATTATACTAAATTTGAAAATAGAGTTGATCAGTCATCTAGACAGTGTATGATACATAACCCATTAACTTTCTAGACGTTTCTGACAGATTTCCATTTATAGCTGATTCAATGAAGTTATTTCTGGACATTTTATTAGCATTTTGATTGATTATCTGGAATAAATTTTGACAGTGATGCCAACTCAATTAGTAGGTTAATGATGATGATGATGATGATGATGATGATGATGATGATGATGATGATGATGATGATGATGATGATGATGTGATGATGATGATGATGATGATGATGATGATGATGATGATGATGATGATGATGATGATGATGATGATGATGATGATGATGATGATGATGATGATGATGATGATGATGATGATGATGATGATGATGATGATGATGATGATGATGATGATGATGATGATGATGATGATGATGATGATGATGATGATGATGATGATGATGATGATGATGATGATGATGATGATGATGATGATGATGATGATGATGATGATGATGATGATGATGATGATGATGATGATGATGATGATGATGATGATGATGATGATGATGATGATGATGATGATGATGATGATGATGATGATGATGATGATGATGATGATGATGATGATGATGATGATGATGATGATGATGATGATGATGATGATGATGATGATGATGATGATGATGATGATGATGATGATGATGATGATGATGATGATGATGATGATGATGATGATGATGATGATGATGATGATGATGATGTGATGATGATGATGATGATGATGATGATGATGATGATGATGATGATGATGATGATGATGATGATGATGATGATGATGATGATGATGATGATGATGATGATGATGATGATGATGATGATGATGATGATGATGATGATGATGATGATGATGATGATGATGATGATGATGATGATGATGATGATGATGATGATGATGATGATGATGATGATGATGATGATGATGATGATGATGATGATGATGATGATGATGATGATGATGATGATGATGATGATGATGATGATGATGATGATGATGATGATGATGATGATGATGATGATGATGATGATGATGATGATGATGAGAAGGTTGACGATGTCAAAACAAAGTAAGCGTAGAAAATAAGACATAATTACAATGATGATATGATATGTAAAAGAAACTTATTGATGTTTTAATGTATTTAGCTAGATGAAACATTGAATGGTAACGTGTTTCCCTACTGTGTACCTGAATCCTTTTGAGATTAAATTATCTATGCTGAAACGATGAAGATTATTAAGGCGTTTCGTTTTAGCAATTTTTTTACAACTGTTCAATGAATCTCAGTGACTTGTATAAGTTATTAATCGTGAAGTCAATCACAGACGTGTATCTGATAGGCTGAGTGAGTTAAAACATGTTACATGTCTGTGCTCTCATGGCTTCGAAGAGGTTGATTGTATATCTTATCAAGGTATGAATTTACATATCCTTATCAAAGTTAGAAGAATCAAGTTATGAATACCAGTGACTTGTGTATTTGAGAATTTAGTTCGCAAATTAGAACTTCTCGATTCTCTTACTGCTATAAGTGTTTGGGAAGTGTGTCTGTGGGTTGGATGATCACGGGACATAACCATTTTGATTTAAACATCCTTTGTCAGTAGAACAAGTTGAGAATCTAAGGAGATACACTACTGGCAACTCTAATATACGGAATACTCTTAAAAAAAATGAAGAACTTTGATCCAACACGAGTGAAAAGACTGAGTTACCACCTTGATTTGTCTGCTCACTAGTCTGTAAGTAATCTGCAAACAAAGAGAGAGAGGTACAGTGGTCCTAAACTAGTGTACGGCATTGAAATACTTGATTCCTCAGCACAATCTTGAGATCTATAATTCATGAGTTCGACTTTGTGACTGAACGACCTTAACGACAGACCGAAAAGAACTATCCCATAACCTGACTGATTAGCAGACGGAGAGAAAAGACAACTTCGTAAGAGATTCTGTGTCCAATATATCCAAGTTCACTCAATCAATAAAGATACCTGAATAAATATATATGACAAGCAGGACCAGAATACATAAATAATGAGAAAAATACACTTCTATCGAAACTAGGATATTGCGGTTGGAAAAGTAAGGATACAAGGATCATACTCAAAGTATATTAGTTACGGAATAGAAGTATTACATAAGACAGTAATTTAACTCTCAATCAAATGTCTAGGATAAATTAGGTTCAAAACTGTTATATTTTAAATTCAGAGAAATTCTATCTCATGTGAATAGCTCTTAATAATTTTCATTACTGCTTTAATCATCTCTTTATATCAGTTTGGAATTAAATTTATTTTTTTAAAATTTACTGGGAAAATACTGACCGGCAAGATTAAATCATCACTAAAAGACACAAGACAAACACATAGCTGATCATTATTCAATGATCAATCAATTTTAACTACATCTCAGGAGGTTAAATGTGGCTTAAACAGACTAGTGGAATTCAAAACTTAGCAGAATGAGTTCGAATCTGTAAACACAGCTTTAGTCCCTTTAAAATTACAAGTACAAGCGTCAAACTTCGGTGTATACTCACTTCACTTTCTAACCATCTTCAAACACTTTATTTTTATGAGATGAAAAAAATATTCCACTAATTTTGATGATCATTTTTAGTTTTTAGTTTTCCAGAAAAAAAATTAGAACTTATTCTTTAAGAAATTGATATATATTTTCTAATTAATTTTCATTTATATACAAACGGTTACACAAATAATTTCTATTATTATTATTACTACTACTACTCACACTACTACTACTACTACTCACACCACTACTACTCATACTATTAATAATAGAATGGAAATAATGATGGATCACTTACAGATTGAATCAATCAAGCAGATCTACATATGTGTACGTACACACAGAGTGAGTGTAGTTGTGTACAAGATATGCCTAATGGTCATCCACATGAGTAATCGATATATACAATCACATACATACATACATACAAACATTTAATTATATTTGCTGATATATGTAAGCATTATTAAAGAAAGGATTAAATGTTCAATTATTTTTGTTAGACTCTTCATACTTGATCATCGTTTATTCTACGATGATGTGAAGAAAATCTCTGTTCATTCATTCATTCATTCATATTATTCAATTAAACAGTTAAATGTGTCTTATTCACCAGTACACAGACACACACACACAGAGAGAGAAAACTGAACATTGAACATTATGAAATTAAAACAATCAAATCGACAAAAACAAAAATGAAACTAGAACACAAAAATTTTTTTCAAATGAACACTATTCAGATAAATAAATAAAATGGAATAACTTTTACAATTTGATTGCAAAAAAGAGAAAGAAAGAACAACTTGACTAATAACAACACCTTAACAAAGAACAAATATAATCAAACCTTAAACTTGTTCTTCAGTATATATTGTTTTTGATAACAACATTAGTGTAATTACAATCGATCAATGCAAACAAACAAACAAACGAACACACAGATTCACAAAAGAAAATGCACCTGTCGAATAAATAAATGAATGTAAGAAGAAAGAAGGTGATGGACGACGGTCTGTCTGTCTTTATTATTGAAAACAATGAATGTTTTAATAATGTTTAACAGATAAGACAAGAAATTTGTTAAATTAAGTAGAGTTAAATAACAATCAACATGATGAGAAGAAGAAGAAGAATCATGACAATGTGTAAATTCAAGAGTGATGAGAATATTGAAAAGAGGAAAGTTTTTTTTTTGTTTGGACGGCAGATGTTAGAGAAGCAACACTATCATTGGAAAAAAATATACTGACGATGATGATGATGACGATGAGTGAAGATCATTTCAGTTCAATGATTTGAAAACTGATGTGAACAATTAAATTGACTTAAACCATGCATTCAATAGTATGGACAGTGGAGGAGCAGAGTAAAAGGAGGAATTAAGTGTAAGTGAAGAAGTGAATAGAAGCAATGGACAGTGTTTGCAGTAAATAGGTTTATTATTTTAGTTTTGAAATATTTCTTTTGCAATATACTACTCTAATAAAAAATAATAGTCTTAGTGAGTAATGTTCCATAATCTAAAGTGAGTTTTTATAGTTTCACAGTAATATTCAATAGATACTCTAAATATTCATGTCTTTTATTTGTAGAAACGTGAACAATACAAGATGGTGTTAGAATAGTTAGAAAATTGTATTACTATACATGTTCGTAAATAATTATACTTCAGAAACTTCGAAGCACTGAAAGATGACCGTTTCATCCTGGTATAGAACTTATCAGTCGCAGTGTGCATTCACGACTCCAGCTACCAGCTGGAATCGAACCCACGACCTTACAGCTTGCGCGCGAACGCTTAACCTCTAGACCACTGAGTCAGTGGCATTCAACGGTGTGAATGTCTAACTCTAATCAATCTAAGATGGTAAATGCCAATCGATATACATTGGTTAATTAACCGATGACGATACAAATAAGTTAATTCATGACAAGATCTATATTGTGTAGAATATAACACAAATATACTGAAAACTACTGATAAGTAATATATGTTGTTGGTAAAAATGTGTTTTTTTGAACAAAATATATCATTGAGATATAATTAGTAATGATTAGTTCACTTTAATCTATATGAATTGGATTGACAAACTAATAGAAAGAGTTTGTATGATACAACAGTTTTTCGACACCATTAGAATCCTGGAAGCACTGGATGGCCGTTTCGTCCTGGTATGGGACTCATCAGCGGCGCGCATCCACGACTCACTATGTGTTTTATCCAGTTATTATTATTGTGTGTTTGGTAGTGTGAAATGCTTGTAAAATGTGTGTGTAAAATGCTTGCAGGAAACCAAAATATATTTTCTTTCATTGTATTTTGAAACTTTTTTTTAAAGTTACAGTATAATGACTGCAAACTATACAGTTGGTTTCAGAAAACATCATTCGAAGTCACTAAACTGTCCATGAGTCTGTTATCAATCATTTTCCTTGTGTTTATGATGTGTAGTAGCTTGATCATCATTTAAAAATGATGATTAATGAATTTGAGCTCAGTTTAATTATGGTTATATGTTATCATGCTTTTCCATTATTGATTTTCGAAATATTCATCATGAAGCCTAATCACTGATGAGTATGAATAAGAAGAGATTTGATTCACTCGCCTACTACATAAGTTCGAGAGAAATAAACTCATGTGACTCGAGAGAGAAAGTCTTGTTTCTATTATTATGATATTTTAAACAAGAGCTAAATTTGTTTAGTCGAAATGGTATATTATTAACACACAAGTCTTTTACAATGAACACATATTAAATATATCTGTGAGATGGTCTGTCATCATCATAAATGAAAATGTAAGAAAACAAGTATAATAATTAATGGGAGGTAGTTTTATTTGAAAATATAATTAATATTCAAGACAATAATAACAACAATATCAATGAAACAATAAGAATGCTACTTGTATATAAACATATGCAAACAATAGTAGTCGTAATATGAATAATAATAATAATCGTAGAATTCGGGTGTAGTAGTTATATGTACTCGTTTGCTATAACTCCTTGAACATTACTATATGTTTATATAAATAAATGTAAGTGTGATGGACACACCTTAAAATACATACGATATAACACAATACAATTTACTTTTTAAAAATAAATTTTGGCGCCTTTATCTTATAGGCATTATCAATACCATTGTAGTTCAATGTAGGGTAATTTCCAGGGAAATATATTCTCTCCACACGCATGATTTTTAATACATTGAGAAATATACACATATATATGTGTCATTTATACATTCTAGCATCTTGCCAGTGTAATTTCCTTCCAATCAATAGAGATGCAATGCTTTTCAAATAGTTCGGGGTAAAACAGTTCTTAGAAAACTATTCACTGTATGAATAAATACATTCAGGACTAATAAAGATGCACGTGTTAAAGACATCAATGTTACAAATATTTATTTATACCAACATTGTTACTTAAATCCTTATTAAAGTAGTATACAATCTAAACATAAAAAAGCTCAGATGTTATTTTTGAACTGTTCAACTGCAGAAATCACAATAGATTTGTAATCCTATTTAGCTCTAGTCAACTAGATAAATCAACATCTTAATATTGGTGTGCAAATCATAATAAAACGTCTATTATTTTACACAACGGTATTTTATTTAGTGGTAGGGAGGTAATAAAAATGCTTCAGTAAAGCACTCTAGATTTTTAAGTGCTTCGACCACTGATTACAGTTAAATACTGTCTTAGATTTTTTTAAAATTTGAGTAATTAGCAATGCCAACTGTAAACTACTCATAAAATTACTTAGATATTAAATACTGAAGGACTCAAGTGGATATTTTCCTCTATTAAGAAAAAACAGTAGACTAATATAGATGTATATATATATATATTGGGATTCATGCATCTCATATGTGAGAGATGGAAGAAACAGCTGTCAGATAGCGTGATATCCCCTTTTTCTTTTCATATTGTACTGAACTTATTGTAAAAGTACTCTTTGTCTATCATTTTCAGACAGAAATATCTTGTGACTAGATTTTTCAAGATTTATAACATAAGTTGTGTTATATACGAACAAAGATGGAAGTGATCGTAACTTAGATGACCAATTCGTGAATTATCGTCATTATATATATTGTCGGGGTCGTTAGATCCCCAGAACTCACTTGATAAAGGTCGTAATTTCGGATTTCATGTTTTCAAGCATGGGCTGATCATCAGTCGACCTTCAGATCACACTTCCCACCCGAAAATCCTTGGCTGTTATTGGTTGGTATATTATTTTATTTCGTTTCTATCATGTATAAATAAACTCTATTCGTATGCTTGTAAGCCTGGTATTTTCTGGGTGCTTGTAGAATACACTTCCTATGTCCTGTCAAGACTTCTTTCTTTACTTAGTAGGGCCTTGGGATGCTCGGATTAGAGTAAGCTATCGTATCACTGGATCATTTGTCTTAGATCTCGTTTACCGACTAAGGTGAACTCGTAATAGTTTCAAGCATATCAACTGACCAAACATAACATATATATCCTTAATATTATTGAGTAACTAGATTATCCGAAGGTGGTCTCTTTATGTATTGGTCAGTGTGAGAACATAAATTCATTCCATTTTTTTTAAAGATCAAGCTGAAGTTATCTACAATTTTTCGGGACACCGACTATTTCAAATAATTTAAAAATCAATATAACTTTTTAGATCCTAATCAAGGAGAATGAATATAAATGTCAGCGACTAAACGAGTCAGTTGACTATTCACTATAGTGAAGTGACTGAAACGTTGAGACACCTGAAAGTCATCGACTTAAATCTACAGGTTGGTGTCTCACATATTATTATAAAATAGTTGTGTCCAGTGCATTCTGACTTCGAATGATTGATTGTCTAACAATACTTGATTGATGATTTCAAATGTGTAAAAACATAAACCTCCAAAACTCTGCCCCAAAATACTTGATAACAAAATATGATGACACTGATTATAACAATAATGATATATCATAAAACTCATAGACTGATATTTTAGTAAGTAAAGGTGAGGAGAGAAAATTAATCAGTCATTTACTGGAGAACTGTGATCATAAGGATTAATTGCATGATTCTTATTTCTTGTTGAACAAGTATTTTGAGTAATTCGATTGAAATCTAATTATTTTCGTTTTAGATGTAAAAATATACACAAAGGGTTTATATATTCTAACGGTGTTAGCTATCTGAACTAATTAGTGAAACGAATTTGAAGCAAACAGTACCGCGTTTCGAGTTGTTATGTAAACATTAGAACAAATGACCAGACATCGTCAGCTGACAAGTCCCGCATAGATTACACTACTAGCTACTATTTATTTGCGAAGACAGAGTGTACATATCTATACATGAAAATTTGCTAAAATACAAAACTAAGAGAGGATTAAAGAGCGAATTCTGAGACGTTAAACCCACAGTCTGAATTGACTGATTGTAGTAATCTCGTGGACCTCAATCAGAGATAGTCTGTACATATTTGTCAGGCTATTCATCCAATAACCTTTATTTATTAATCTGATTTTGTTGGTCAATTCCTATTGGTAGTCCCAAATATCAATGTCACATACTTCAATGTTGTTTCATATTCGACCTAAATATGCATTATCTGTAACGGTTTATGACCAGGACTCGATCCCGGATCCCCAGTCGGGGATCCTGGTTCTCTTCTAAACTCAAACCTCGTACTTTCTGGATGCTTGTAGAATACACGTTCTACTTCATATCCAGTCTTCTTCTTTTACTCAATGAGGGTTTAGGATGTTCAGATTAGAGTAGCCTATCATGTCACTGGGTCATTGTCTCGTTCTGGGTTTATCGACTAAGGTGAACTCGTAAAATAGTTCAAGCATATCAATTGACGTGGTGAAGTTGCATCCATAACAACAATATTAACAATAATCATGCCACGTTATTAGATTGATTGTACTTTTCTTCGGAACTAAACACATTATTATGTAGCAGCATATTATTATTATTTCTAACAAGTACAATTTTATCAATTGGTAAAGTTTCATCTTCATTGAAAGAGAGAGACTATCAATCACTACTAGACAGTTAGTTAGTTAGTTATTTTTCATTCAAACTACTATAATAACATAAATAATTCACAATATTAACTTAGTGAACATTTTTATATATTTTTATCAATATTTATTTTTAAAATGAATAGATTTATCACGATAATAACAATGTTGAACAACAAGTAGTACACGAAATGTATATATATATATATATATATATATATATATATATATATAGAGAGAGAGAGAGAGAGAGAGAGAGAGAGAGGAATCTTATTCAATGTAAAGCTGTACAATTATACATATACAAATATATAAAAGGTATATATATATATATATATACTTCAAATTGAATATTATTGTCACAATATCACATAAACTATACAATTTTCACATGAATATGAATTTGATTATATATATATATATATATATATATATATATATATATATATATATATATATATATATACATATATATATATATATCAGGAGAACTAGCAAGATTAATTCATAAAAATTGTGCGTCGTTTGTGTGTTGCTGTTTTTTTTGTCTTGAATAAATAATAAACTTTTATAAAAGCTCAATCGTTATTGTTCATTGTTAAATGATTGAGAATAACAATCAAAAAAAAATCAAAATTAGAGAGTTGTGCAAAAAAGAAAACAGCAGAAAAAGAAAATCAAAAGAAAAACCAAAACATCAGTGAAATCAATTTTTAAAATGGTTTGGATTTAAAACGTTTTCGTTTGCCAGTTTTATGAGGTTGCTGAAATGTAAGGAAAAACAAAACATTTGACAATGTGTGATGATAAATATTGCAACGCTGGATCAAGTTGTACAACTGAAAAAGCATAAAAAACAATAGTTTGTGTTTCGTTCAGTCAGTCAGTTGCAACGTAGAACTTCGTACGTATGTACATAGGTTCATGTTGCCATACCACAGCACAGACACGCAAATGTCAAATCAAATCCCATAGTGATAAAGATAGTAGAGGTATTATTGGTAATGAAGAAGACTAGGGTTTGAAGATATCATTCAAGAAATATAATTCAGTGAGATAAGTTTAGAAAGACAAAGGTAGAGGTGCTGACGAATCCAGAAGATTAGGATTTGAGAGAACACAACGAATGGATGCACTTGCGCCATTCCAAACGATTCTGAGCCATGTCGTTCACGGTCTCTAACCATTGGTGACTATCGTCTAGCGGACACCAGCCAGATAGTCTACATCTACCAACATGACTCAGTCCACTTGACAATGACTTCATGGATTGCTTCAATGTTTTGGTTTGGCCGCCCCTACCTCTCTTCCAACCTACTCCTACACCACAAAACATAGCTCGTCGAGGCAGTCTGTGGTCGGGCATTCGTAACACATGTCCCATCCACCTCAACTGATGAAGTTTCACCACTTCATCTATTGATCTGCCATCCTTACCTAGCACCCGTTTCCTAATAACAGCATTGCTTACTCGGTTGTCCCACGATACTCGAGCAATGCTTCTTAGACATATATGATCGAATACTAGCAACCTACGAACCTCTTCTACTCTTATTATGTTTCATTAACAAAAAAACATATTTTCACATATACGATAATCATAATTAACTTACTATTTGTGCATGACGACCCAATATCATTTCCAAATCACGTTGTGCTTTTTCTTCTTGTGCAGCTACAGTTGTCGGATCGATCAAGTCATCATTATCATTATCATCAGATGGATGATGCGTTGAATCACGACGACTGCCAGCAGTAGACGTAGTTAGTGCACTGAGTCGGCCAACAGATGATAGTAAAATATTTGATTCGGTTAATTCATGCGGTTTAGAATCAATACTACTACTACTACTTGTAGCATTATCATTAGTGTTATCATTCTTAGTATTACTACTAGTACCAGAGATACGTAGAAATGGTAAACGTCGACGAGGTGTAAGTTTTTTCTTTATTACCTATATTAATTATGAAGAGAAACACAAAAAAAACAGGTGATCAATGTTGTCAATTTAATCAATGATTAATTTATTTGAAATTATCAAGTCAAAAAAGCAGTAATGTTAAGAGTTTGTAATCTCTCATTGTTGTTTATAGTTGGGTAATCTATGTTATGATACACATATATATATATATATATATATATATATATATATATATATATAACCCAGAACGGATTGAGGATTTTGTGGCGAGGTGCGTGTTGGGGATGTTAGATCCCCAAAATTCGCTTGATAAATGTCTTATTTTGGTTTTCACGTTTGCCAGCATGGGCTGATCAGTTGACTTTGAGATTTCAATTCCCACCAGGAAAATCCATGACTGTGATTGGCTGTTGTTTATTTTAGTGTGCTATTTTCTTAACTGTCTTAAGGACGTTTCTATGTTGTATAAATAAACGAGAGTTGTATGCTTGATTGTACTGTGATTACTGGGTGTTTGTAGAATATACTTTCTACGCTTACAAAGCCTTCTTACTTCAGATTCAAGGTAGCCAACCTGGACGCTGGTAAAAGTCTCGTTCGCGTTTATCGACTAAGGTAAACTCGTAATAGCCTCAAGCATACTAAGTGACGAACTCTACAGTGCGTTATGTTGGACGTCAGTGTTCACCAATTTTTAGTGGCGGCGTTAGATTCGTTGTCGGGCCCGCGATCTGACTCCAATTCGTACGAATGATCGAGTATGATATGAGACGGTGGTAATAAGAAGCCAAATACGGATTCAGTTGGATGAGTTTATTTCAGACAGTCATTCATGCATTCGCTTAAGCAGACGGACGAGGATGAAGAGCAAACAAGCAGCGCAAAGCGAATTGGGGAAGGCGAGAAAGCCAACTGCTTGCAACGAAGCATGACTAAGCATTTATAATCAGACAAAATAAGCTAGACATGTAGCAGTAGACACACATACTCGAATAGAAACAACCAAGATAAAAGCGAATAACCGACAAAGTCAAAAGATGAAGGAGTAGTAACTCGGGCAGAATGGACTGGTTGATTTGTCCGAAAGTTCGGCACAAGTCCTGTTGGCTCGATAGAAAAAGTATGCGCACTACAACTTGTATCAAGTGTGGTGTGAGTCGTGTGTTCATTTTCCAACAAAGAAAGGATGAGTTTACAGGGCAGTAGTTTGCTTTGTTCTACCTAAATCCCAGAACTCAACAGTTTGTCCGAAATTTTTTTCAGCTAAGCTGGAAATTTACTGGAAAATTAAATTAACACACTTACTTCACGGACAAGTTGTTTACGTATACGAGTTTTCACTTCCATCACAAAATCTAACCATGTCCAAACACAATTGTGATATTCCAATGTTGGAATAAACAATTCAAAACGTGTTACATCAGTGATATTTTTTTGTTTTTCGCCCTGAAAAAGATTTTCCACGAAATAAAGCAACAACAACATAAATAAAATGGACATTTTTAAACAAGAAAATCTATAATCAGTAAGTCGTGTCTTACTATGTTGGATGTCATGGTAGAAATCCATGAAGTCATTGACAAGTGGACTGAGTCATGTCGGTAGTTGTCGACTACCTGGTTGGGGTCCGCGAGATGATAATAATCGATGGTTAGAGACCTTGAATGACATGGCTCAAAACCGTTTGCAATGGCGCCGGTGCATTTATTCTCTGTGTTCTCTCAAATCCTAATCTTCTGGATTCTTGAACAATTCTAGTTTTGTCTTTCTTAACCTATCTCACTGAATCATACTTCTTGAATAATATCTTCTAATCCTAACCTCTCCGATTACTTCTAATACCTTTACTACCTCTACTACTATTGGATTTGAATTGACAATTATATCTCTGTGCTGATGTGGTATGGCGACATGAACTGATGTACTTACGTACGAAGTTCTACGTTGAAGCTGACTATGTTGGATGTGAGCAAATTCTTTAGATTCGATTCACGGAACGTAGTCTTAGAATATTGTGAATTAATTGAGTTTAGACTTGTATAACCATTACATCTCATTTCAGTGATTAAAAATTCAAGTGCTCGTGAGTGAGACCGAAAGTCTTCGGTTCGATTCCCGTGTGTAGAGTTCACGATGAGCATTACTGACTGGCCTGAAATTAGAACGGGACGATTGTCCCAGTGCTTACAAATTTTCAATTGTTGTATAACTTATATTAGCTCGTGATAAAAAATTTATACCTTTAAAACACGTTTTTATTTTATTTTCTAGATAATCTTGTTGAAGAATCTGATGTGGTACCGTTTGAAGACAGAGTGTTAGTAATGAAAATCTTTCAATAAACCTATAGCTCTATGAGCAATAAATAACATATTAGATGAATTTTCGAAAATTCAATTGTGTGGATGGTGTTAGGGAAAGTGAATGTGATTGGCCATTGAACATGGACAAATAAGCATGCACATTACCGACTATTTAATATGTGATTTCCTTTCCTTTTATTGGTTTCCACTCTGAACTCACTGAGTGTAGGCTGCTTGTGGAATAAAGCATTATCTAGTGTTTACTCTGATTCTCTATTTCTGGTTGCAAACTGGTTATCTGATATAATGTGATCTATAGTGGACTGTCCGAGTATTCAATCTAGCAGCAGTATAAACTCGGTCATGGAATGTGTTTCTCTTCCTTCAAACGCAAAATGTTACTACACGATTGGTTTGCGTCATTGCTTAAATTAATCGTACATGAGAACGTAGATTACCACCTAACTTGGAAGTCTCATCAGTTCTGATGATCTGGTGAAGAAGGATGAACAAGGTTCGATTGGTTTTTGCTAACTTGTATCACCTGTGGAGTAGGCGAAGGATGAGCTTACTGTTGTATAAAGGTTTTCTCGATTCTACAAATGTAAGTTAATGCTTTTTTTGATTATTACGGTATCTACGGAGTACTGTTTGTGTATTTCGAGACCATGATTCGATTAGGAATAAAGATGGCTAGGTAAACAAACATATAACTAATCAACTGAGGTAGGTGGCTACAACATGTAATATTTTGTTGATTGACTATGAGCAGAGTCATTGAAAAAGAGATTGAAACCAGGCTCAAATGATGCATTTCACTTATTTTTCAATGTAGAACATTTAAAATTCTAGTCAGAAACTCAGTGCAGTTTATTTTTCTAAATAAATAAAAACTTCACAGTTGATTACAACACACTTGCCTGAGAAATACTATATATTTACACTTAAAATAAAAATTTTTTTATTACGGAAAACAACACGAAATTTATGATAAAACCGAAGAAACCAACCTTATAACTTAAACGTATTGGAAATCCAGGGATTTTAATGTATAAAAATACTTTATTCTGACGAGCTCTTTCCTGTTATTAATCAATGCATACAATGTAAGATAATAATAATAATAATAATAATAATAATAATAATAATAATAATAATAATAATAATAATAATAATAAAAACAGAACTAATTGTGTTTTTTGCAACATTAATTTTAAAGCATCTTGATTACAAAATAAAAAAAGTAACAGTTTTTAATTAATTTTGAACTGTTCATCAATCTTTCTTTTTTTATCATGATTAATCTATCTCTATCTGTGATATCAATTGTATTGTGAATTGGATAAAAGGTAATAAAAATATGTCCAGTACAAAGAATTTGATTGATTGACTGATTGAGTGAGTGAGTTCAAAAGAAAAAAAACGAGACTATCTATCCAAAAGGATGTTTTAAATAAAAAAAAGGGGTAAAAGATGCAATCCATGAGTAGAACACTTTAAGGAGCAGTTTGATTGGCCTTCAAGACACACTTCGGTTAACCATGATTTCTAGTCAACCTGAATGGCAAGTTGATATAACACGTATGCGGTTTCGTAATGAGGTTAAAAAGGCTATAAGGATTCTCAGGAGATAAAGAACAGCAATAACTGATAGATTAACCCCTGGGAATTTCAAGAATGGTGATCCAATTTTAGCACTTAGATTGACTGAGAATTGCACGTATTCCAATCTCACCGGTCTCAATCACTGATTGTCCCGGTCTATAAGAATGGACATAGACCCACTTGTGACAATCATCGAGGGATCAGTTTGACTAATATAGTGTCTAAAATATTAGTTTTAGTAATACTTCGATGACTAACTAGTGTTCGTGAAGAGCAGATCTGAGAAATCCAGGCTGGTTTCAGACATAAACTTGAAAGAAAAGATCAGATGTTTACACTACGAGAGGACCTAGAAAAAAGACATACTTTCAGACTTCCCACAGTAATAGTATTCCTCAACTTTAAGGCAGTGTTCGATTTTGTCGACCGTGAGGTTCTGTGACAGTGTGTCGTTGAAGAGTGTGCCGAACAAGTAAATTTATCTTACACAAACTATCTGCTCGAACACTACTGATCCAATCAGAGTTTATGGCGAACCGTCATCAAAACAGATTATTTCAAGTGGTGTTCATCAAAGTTGTTCCATTTCTCCGTTCTTATTTGGTTTTGACATAGACATAACACTTTCCTTGTCTAACTTCTCAGGAGTTCTTTTGACCACCTTAAGAAACAATGTATGTTTGGAATGCGATTCTCCCCTCGAAATGCAAAATTTTGCCTCAGGGTTGGCTTGTATCAGCACCTGAACTAGCGATAGGGAGTGAAGTAGTTGAGAGTCTTGACTGGCTCAGTTATCTCGGAAATTTTATCAGTCCTGATGGCCTGGTGTGTGACCGAAATCTTGGCATGAATACAGAAGGCTCAACTGGCTTTTGCCAAATTGCGTCAATTATGGAGTAAGTGAGTTATCCATCCACTAAATGTAAGACTGTGAAACGTGGCCGGTAGGAATAGAGGATATTCGTAGGTCAATAGCATTTGAATGTAGGTGTTTTTAAAGCATTGCTTATGTATTCTGGGAACATTGGGTAAGCAATGTTGGGTTGAGAAAAAGGAACAAGGTAAGGTCAGCAAATCAGTTGCTGGTGTTTGGATGTTAATGAACTTTTCAGGTACACCCTTCTTCAATCCGAAAGAACAGTTCTATCCGACGAATCGAAGGCGGCTCTGATATAACGATTGTTGGCCTGTGATAAGTGTGTTGGTGTTCTGACATTTGACGGAGGGCGAAAATATGGTCAATGCGTCTTCGATCAGATCGAAAACCAACGTGCACCTCGCAACTCAATCTTTCTCGGGTTTTGAACAATCTATGAAGTATGACGAAAGTCAATTGTTCGGACATAATCGAAAGTAGACATATCCCTCGGATAGTTGTTACACAGATGATGGGAACCCTTTTTAAAGACAGGGATAACTATTGACTCATTACACGATTTTGGAACAGCCTCTAATTCCCCAAATGGTTGTGAACAACTCAGTCAGTCTCATAGTCAGAAGGTTTCCACCATCTTAAAAAAAAAAGTTATAAGTAAGTCATCTGGGCCTGGCGGTTTGTAACACTTCGAGAGTTCTTTGCAGACTCTGTCAATGAAATAAATAATCATAATCAGTAAAAAAAAAACAATCATTTCAAGGAAAAACTAATTCACCTGCATCACATCGACTGGATTCAATGGTATAGTTGTATTATTATTAGTTGAATGATGTAAATCAATTTGATTGGTTAATAGTGTTGCATGTTCCATTGGAACAGATCCATAATTGATTGGATGATAATAGAATGACAGATTATTTATAGGATGTTGATGATAATGATGATGATGTTGATTCGAAATGAAATGATTCGATTGACAATATGTGCATGTATTATTATTTATAGGTAATAATAATTGTTGTACATATTCGGATGATGAATGTTGTTGCATGAACATGACAGAAGAGTTAGCGTTCGATTCATTTATGTGGCAAAGATTGGGGAATTTCAATTCACTAAAATTTAAAAAGATAATATATACAGAAAAAGGAAATGAACTTGTATGCAATGCAGATAATCTAGTCGATATAATGGATGTAGTTGACTTCATTAAATTTGTAGTGAACGAGAACACGAGTGGGGCAACCGAATTGTATTTAACGAAAATTACAGAGTTACTCAGTAAAATCGGAATACCATATCGTAAATCGTTTATTTGCAAAATATCAGTCCATCCTATCGAACTGGACTGTTCCTGTTGCAAAACATCAATCCATTGTCACTATTCATGAGTTTCATACAAATTCCATTGTGTTCTTCTAACTCTTCCTTTCTTGATCTCTCCCCATCTTCCGCTGCCAGACATTACGTCGACACTCACGTCATATACTACTTATAAGTAGCTCACACCACAAAGTTAGTAAGAACAATAAATTAGTTGGTAAGATCATTATTGTTTTGAACACGTAGAGGTCATTGGTTACACTGTTCCCCCGTCTATTTCAGTTTACGAATCTAAGTAGCGCGTCACGTGTTCTCACACAAACAATATAGTTTATTAAACAAATAAACAGATTTATATTGGGTAATTATGTTACATTTTATCAAATTCTACCAAGTCAGTCAATCAAACTTAGTCAGGGTCATTAGTTTTGTATGCGAACGCTTAAACCATTGGACAATAAAGACGGAATCCGTTGACTAAATTCGATCAATTTGAGATGCTTTACAACAATCTTTTATTGCCTTTGGTGGAAAACTGTCTGTTATACTTAATATGGTCAAATTCCAGCGGTCATAATTTTGAAAAAAAGAATATTTGAGATGGAATATGGTATTTGATAGGGTTGGCTGCAAATAACAAACTTCAAAGCGACAACCAACTAACAGCACAGCAACGAAAAGCCTTAAAGACACTCATAGTTCTAGCGGACAAAGGATAAGGAAGAATATATCAAGAACACCAAGGAACTACTTAATGACAGAAGCGTATATAAACCCATGGACACAAACCCAATATAAAAAGTTGGACAACCAAATTTCAAGGAGTCTAAGTCTAGGCTTGTCAAAGCAGGAGAAATATCTAAAAAAGGTCCGTAATTCCACGATTCTACGGTTGGATGAAACTCCACAAACCCAACATTCCATTATGTCCAATTGTATCTCTCCCTGGAACCCCGACCTACAACTTATCAAGGGAAATTTCAAGGATATTAAAACATTTGGTTGATGAATTCAGCTACTCCATTTAGTCTCCTACAATTTTTGGATAAACTCAAGGAGATCCAAATCGACAACGGCGAAAGGGTAATATCCATCGACGTATCAGCCTTATTCACCTCAATAGAGCCAAGCTTAGCTAAAGAAACTCTTTCCCTGCTCCTCATCAACGACACAAATCTGCAAAAATATACAAAGCTTCAGGGTCAAAGTCTGCTTGAACTCACCGATCTATGCTTAACAACGTATCTTCAATTCAACAACAGAGTCTAAGAACAAATAAAAGGAACACCAATAGGATCACCAATATCAGGACTCATCGCCGAAGCTGTAATGCAGAGACTGGAAGCGTCGATTCTACCAGTGATCAGCCCAAAAGTGTGGGTTCGCTATGTAGACGACACATTCGTCAGTATTCAAAAGGAACGAACTGGAAAACATCTACAATCGGATCAACAACGTCTTCGATGACATCAAATTCACGATGGAAAAGGAATCAGACAGCAGTTTATCACTCCTCGATGTACAAGAACTAACACAGGAAAACTGGAGACTCAAATATTTCGGAAGCCAACCTACACAGATTTAATTCTCAACAATGGTAGCAACAACCATAGAACCCACAAAATCAACTGCATACAAACTTTGTTCAAGAGAGCGAAGACACACTGCAGCACATATGAAGCACTAAAAAAGGGGGGAAAGCATCTTATAACTATTTTCCAAAAGAATGGCTATCCACGCAACTTCATCAAAAAACAACAACCGAAACCATCATCAGAAGCGAAATCAAGTTCAGGAACCAATAAACGGATCATCCTGCCATACATAAAAGACATATCGGAACATACAGCATGACTAATGAAACCATTTGGAATAGGTGTAGCACACAAACCAACAGAATCACTTCAATCAATCCTATTAGACCAAAGGACAAAATGACAAAGGAAAAAAAACCAAATATCATCTACAAAATAAACTGCTCAAACTGTGAAAAACACTACATAGGACAAAGTGGACGACCTCTTCAGCTTCGTTTACGTGAACACCAATTAGCATTCTAATGCCACGACAACTCTTCATTCATATCAATACACACCGACAATTATGGACATACATTCGATTGGGACAGTGTGGAAATACTGGAATGGGGAAGCACAAAGAACACTACAGAATTTTTAGAAGCTTGGCACTCAGGTCAATCAGCAATCAACAAACACATCGGCATTGACCCAACTTATCGAACAATCAGAAAAATCATAGGTGACATAGGATCAAGAAACAGAACAAAAGGCGGATACAATCAAAACAGAGGTGCAAACAACGACAGATTTACGGTCAATTGCAACCAATCAAGATCGAGGTTAAGAGAACAGGGCTACAGGTCAAACGTGGAGAAATTCGAATAGTTCACTTTTATCTGAAGTTTGTACTGATGATGTTGTTCAGAAGAACGACAATGAAAGCTCCACAACCCAAAAACATCCAGCTCACAGAACGAAACACCACCAGAGTTAATGAAGTAAACTGCTATTTATTTACATATATATATATATGCATAATTCCATACTTCGTTAAACTTACTTATGATTAGGCAAATAATCGACTATAGGTAATTTTGACCGCATATTCATCATTTGTAACAATTTAAACGTTGTTACAGGAGATGATGGCCGTGATGACGATGATGATGGTGCTATTGTTGTCTCTGTTCTTGGTCTTGATGTATGATTATAATTATTGTTATCATTAATACTATTATTCAATGCATTCCAATTATCATTAACACTGCAATAATTTCGTCCAGATAGAGCAGCTTCAATGGTTAAATTGTTTGGTGCTATATATACTGGTGATGATGTCAACGATGAAGTAGTAACAGTTATTGTTGTTGTAGTCACAATCGGTATGGATAAATCTGATTGGTGAGAGTTATGCATACAGTTTATTGGTTGAGATAATGTTGACAGTGATTCATTTTCATCATGATTATTCTGTATACGATGTGGTAAATATCGTGATAGATAACGTTTTAGCCATGATTTACGCGGTAAAATAATATTCTCTGATGAATCTATGTAACCTGAATTGAGAGATTAGGAAAAAAAATGTACACCGACTAAATCAAACAAATAATTGTGCATATGGAGAATTTTTGACATTGTAGAATTTCTATGGTTTCGATAATAATAAAAGACCTTTTTGAAATCATGAACCAATCAACGTTAGTACATCATTAGAAACATGGAAGCACTGAATGGTTGTTTCGTTCTGGTATGGGGGACTCATCAACAGTGTGCGCATCCACAACTCTTGCAACTCGCATAATCTAAACCCATGACCTTCAGCCAAGCGCGCGAAAGCATAACTATTGTTACTACTCTTTTATGCTTTTCAGTAACATGTATCATAGTGGAATGTTAAAATTCATAGTACAACAAGTAAATGAATCCTAGTGTCATAGAAAACAACAAAATACTAACAAGAGAGTTTTGAACATGTGAAAAAAAGATATACCGACTAATTTTGCATCATTAATTATGTTTAGAAGTAACTAATATCGTTTTAGCTTAATTTAATGGAATTCTATCATTGAATTACAAAATTAGTTATTAGTATTTGTGGTTGAATATTGTAGGCATTCTGTTTAAATGTTCACTGGTTGAAGGTTGTCAATAGGAAGTTTTAAATGTATGCTGTTTACAACTTGAATATCATCGTGTTGTGATAATATCTTTCTCTCTCTATCTCTCTGGTTGTGATACTTTCAGTAATGTTTGTTTGAATCATACACAGAGTATCAATTTCATTTGAATAGTGAAGAGAAAACCATATAGACAAATGTCAATTGACATGAAAGTTAAGTCTCAACCATGTGGCATTAAACGAAGTGACACGTGATATTGAGATACACATATGGCTAGTGGTTCAATTACAACTTGATAGACATAAAATTCTTACATCACTAAAGACTGGATAATATAATATGGATTACTATTATACAACTAACTAGTGCATACTTTTATTACAAGTCAAACAATACAAATCGGTCAGTGATTTAATCCTATCCTGATTTGATATAAGAGTATAAAAAGTATTACCGTAAGCGAGCCCAGAACCGATTATTATCTCTATTATTATGACTTTCGTCTCGCGGACCCCAACCAGATAGCCGACATCTACCAACATGACTCAGTCCACTTGTCAGTGACTTCATGGGCTTGTGCCATGTTTTGGTCTGGCCGCCCCTAACTTTCTTCCAACCTACTCCTACACTACAAAACATCACTCGTCGAGGCAGTCGGTTGTTAGGCATACGCAACACATGTCCCAACCACCTCAACTGATGAAGTTTCAATGCTTCATCTATTGATTTGCCATCCTTACCTAGAACTTGTTTCCTAACGATAGCATTGCTTACTCGGTAGTCTCAGGAGATATTAAGGGGTGTAAGAAGGATTTGGTTTTGACCAATTCGGTATGAGGGCGGTTGTAACTTCCCGGCTGCCCACACCGTGGGAGATTCGCAGTAACCAGTCAGCATCAGTATAGCTTGATTAATCAGCTTAGTCTATCCACAACAAAGTGTAGTCTATTGCTGACATTCATTAAAATTCTTTGCATATCTAACATTAGAACTCGTGAACAATAATCGATATTATAAAGTGTAACAATATAAAAATTCAACTTACGTGAGTTATCCAGACCGGTAGAGAGATTTGAATTAGGACAATGAAAAGCATTGCTACTATTACTAACATGGAAGCCACTGACATTTTCGTGTGGAATCATAAATGGATGATCAGTGTATGCTAATGAATTGATACAATCTAAATGTAACAATGAATTTGGTTGATATATTTTTGTGTGATTCAACAAATGATTAATGGAAATTATATTGTTGTAAGATAAAAATAATGTACACGTACAAATATGAGCCGGTTAACAGATGATAGATACTCAGCTTTTACAACAGATATGCGAAGTGAGCTATTAATAACAGTTGTGTGCTCTCATATACTCTGGTATGGCTGAAGGTTGAATACATCCGCTTTCCTACCAAAAGATGTTTTAATAGGGTTATGTATTCGTAGTATCTACCAGAAAAGCACTGCTTACTTCATTCATGTGATGAAAGTGAGAGGATGAAAAGTGGACGTTTGTTGCTTCAATTGAATTGGTGAATATGAAGAGAGAAGTTGGGAAAAAAACTTCGTTCGCAACTTATGGAATACATGAGCTCTGGAATTTTGAGGTAACAAAAATCATACAAATTTGTTTCCGATCCCATGTAACATAGAATTACATCTACTGACGCCATTCCTCTGCCCTGTGAATAAGATCTTCAAGCTCAACGCTCAATCTATGAGTTTTTAAGAAAGTCAGGCGCTTCGTTCCAGGCGACTAGGATGCATCCTAGCCTACTCAACAATACGATACTCAATAATTATGAATGAAATGACACACTCTGGTAAACCTGTATTAGTCACGTACATTATTAAAGAAATGATCAGTCAAATTGTACTTACATATTGATTACTTTAAGCTAGTCTAAACCTGATCCCAAACACCGACTACCTCAACGGATAGTGTTTTGTGATGTAGGATTAGGCTGGAAGAAGGCTAGGAATGACTAAACCAAAAAATAGCAAAAATCCTAAAAGTTACTGATAACTGGATTGAGCCATGTTATTAGCGGTAAACTACCTGGTTGTGGTCCGCAAGAAAATCATAACCGTTGGTTGGAGGCTTTGAATAAAACATGGCTCAAAATTGTCTGCATTGGCGTAGATGCATTCATTGTTTGCCTTTTCTACAATTTCAATATTCTGAATTCCTCATGGCCTTTATCTTTGTCTCTTTTAATTTATTTCCCCAGATTATACTTCGCAAATCATATTTTTGATTACTAATCTTTTACATTATCGCTAATACTGTTACTACCTCTACTACTGCGTTATTTCATTCAATCGACCGTTCCATTTTCCTGTGCAAATGTGTTATGATAAACTGAATTGATGTATGTACTTACGTACGGAGTTCTACGTTGTAGCTGGCTAACTGACTCACTGACTGAGTCTAACCTCAATAACTTGTTCTTCATGAATCTAGTTCATGTATATACTGAAAGGACTAATATCACTAATCAATTTCAAGCACAATTTAATTAAACCCGTCGAAATATTACGTAGCATTGAATACATAAACTGAGGGATTTTTCAAGAACAGTACAAACGACACCAGAATTATTAAAAGGACTTCTATGATAGGAATTCTAAACATGTCTATGATACACAGTTGTCAGTGGTGATCTAACGGATCAATGTCATCATCAGAGTTACCCAAAGTCTATCATCTTCCTTTACAAACCTGCTCACCACATTAATCAGTCGGAGTATACGTTAAGAGATGTCCAAGTATTACATGCGTGTTTGACGATGCATTGAAACAACTCGATATTTAAAGAAAGAATTCTAGGTTTGAACTCAATATTGACCACCCCACAGGTCTACCATACTTTGCTACATAATCCAACCTAAATTTTCAGATGTAAGGAAGGAACCAAGAAGATATTGAATGCATGTAATCAATTACACAAATGTATCATATCAGAACTGAAGAAATGTTTAGACTGACCTCCTACAGGATTCGTAACAGTTGTAGTATGAACAGGAGTAGCCGTAACAGTACTACTAGTGGCAGTATCTTCAGATTTTTCAGGAAAAAAGAAAGGCATCATTATTCGATAGAACTGTTTACTCATCTATAAAAGAGACAAAAATGTATGCAGAAGGAGAGATATAAAAAAGATAAGTGAAGCATTATGGTCAACGTGAAATTTTGTGCACCTAATGTTTATGATGCCAAAATGAAAATTTTTTCAAAGCATAAAATTGCACCAAAATGAATTGTTCTCTTTTTTGTTACCTGTAATACAATTGGTGCAACACTGATTTCCATTGCTTCTTTCACAGAGATTCCACCAACTGGAGCTAAATCAGAACAAGCTATACGTAGAATTGGACCACCAGCATACCGACCACCGGATACATCAGGAGCTAAAACTTCCTGGTAATACGTTTGTGTAAAGAAATATAAAAATGAAATATCATTGTATGAAATATAGATTAGATCATGTTTTTTTTTGAATATGAATCGATCACCAAAATGTTAGTTAACAGTGGAGTTCAATCATGTCGAAAGAGTGAGGCAACAGTCTACCGATGGCATTAGACGATAACTGTACAATATCGATAAGCACATACACCGCTTGGAACTTCTGAGATTCATTTCCTTGTAAGGTAATGGATACTCATTGCTTGAGGAGTTCTATACTAAGACAAAAACTCTGTATGCTGTTTTCTGGTTCTCAGTGGTTGTTACACTAAAATTTGTCCCTGATATAAACTATAAAATTCAACAATCTCTACAAATTGCTTACAATAACAATAATCACGCAATCACTGGTGAATCATTCCCATAGTTCTAGTGAGATAGAGATGAGTAATGAAGGTTAGTCAGGTCAAGTGTAAAGCAGTTACTCACTAATTATTTTAGATAATAGATGAGTAATGCCAATTATAAATTGAAGTTAGAAATCCCAACAATCGGATGTTGACTGAGTTGTGTAAATGATAGGTAATCACCTTAAGAACTTAATCTTCAAGTTCCATTCCTGGAGAAGTAGTATAAATCTACTACTGATAAGTCCTATACTAGTCCAGTACTGCCTAGTTATCAATATTTGTCGAACTTGTTGGGGATGTTAGATCCCCAGAAATCACTTAGAAAGTCTCTAATTTTGTAATTTATAGCTGAAATTTTGATTTTTTATTTTTTTCGCACCAAAGACGCTTAGTTGACCTTCAACTTACATTTCCCACTCGGAAAATCCTTGACTGACATTGGTTGATGGATTATTTTAGTACGCTATTTTGTAGCTCTCACCCTGGGCGTTTCTATCATTGCATAAATAAGCTTCATTTGTGTGCTTGTGGACCTCGTATTTTCTGGGTACTTGTACACTTTCCACGCCTTATCAAGACTTCGTATTTTAGTTAGCAGAACTGGGGACAATCGGATTAGAATAACTTATCGTGTCACTGAGTCATTGTTTTCGTTCAGTTTACCGAGTAAGGTGAACTCGTAACAGCATTCAAGCATATCAGTTGGAGATCATATGAGAACTATGTTCAGTTTGTGATGAAAAACTATAAAATCAACATACATGTAAAGGAAAAGCACGACAGAAAATAATAACACTATCAGTTCTTGACTTGTAAGAGGAAGAAATCTCTCCCAATTAAGTGAAAGGGATAAAAATATCTTAGAATACTGAAAAAAAACATGTGACAGTTATTAACAGAGATTGTTAGAGTTTCATATCACGTAATAACTTTCTAGTGAAAGTTGTGAAACATTGCATTGAATTCTATCGATCAGTATCTAACATTAACATACAGTGAATTTAATATTGAGTCACGTTTGACCTACTATTGACAAAAACTTTCGTTATCGTATTTTATTTTTCTCACAACTATCAGTACACCTGTCTTCCGACTATTAATTTGTACTTTTGCCTATTATGCGTGTAGTGTGACCTAATCTATTTCATTTCATTGTGATTATTGACTCATAAATTGCCTTGATCTGGTTAACATTTTCATATAAATATTCATGTATATTGTAGAGTAAAGCCTGATGACGATCTAATCGAAAACAACAATATTGTTCGCTTATATGTGTTGTTTTAACTTAAATTATTGCGATGTCATGTGTTGCGAATGCCCAACCACCGACTGCCTCGAAGAGCTTTGTTTTATAGTGTAGGAATAGGTTGGAAGAAAGTTAGGGGCGGCCAAACCAAAACATGGCGGAGATCTATGAAGTAATTGACGAGTGGACTTAGACATGTCGGTAACTGTCGACTACCTGGTTGGGGTCCGCGAGATGATAATAATCGATGGTTAGAGACCTTGAATGACCTTGAATGAATGGCTCAAAACCGTTTGCAATGGCGCCGGTGCATTTATTCTTTGTGTTCTCTCAAACCCTAATCTTCTGGATTCTTCAACACCTCTAGTTTCGACTCTCTAAACTTTTCTCGTTGAATCATATTTCTTGAATAATATCTTCTAATCCTAACCTCTCCGATTACTTCTAATACCTTTACTACCTCTACTACTATTGGATTTGAATTGGCAATTATATCTCTGTGCTGATGTGGTATGGCGACATGAACTGATGTACTTACGTACGAAGTTCTACGTTGCATCTGACTGACTGATTGCGATGTCAATAAGATTGGCAAAACATGTAACCAATCAATATATAGCTTCAGTGGAGATTGTAGAACTGTCATAGTTTACATCACAAATTTATCTTAGATAGATCCTAATGAAAATCAGAAAGTACTGGATATCTGTGTCCAGTGAAGTTCAGTTAGTCGCAATGTAAAATAGTTATCCAACGCAGGCAATAGAAGATGGTCGATTAATATTATGGACCGGTTAGATTTAGGTATGTATAGAAATGAATGATGACTCGGAAATTTAGTGGTTAGGCGTTTGTCCACTAAACTCTGAGTCCGATTCTCTGTAGTTGAGTCGTGCTAACGCACTACTGAAAATTCCTATCACTGGGGTGAAACACCCGATCAACGCAATCTAACTAAGATCAGTTCGTGAATTGAAACTATGAAAATATGATAATTATTATGCAGTAGTAGTCAGTTACAACGTAGAACTTCGTACATAAGTACATCAGTTCAGGTTGCCATACCACATTAGCACAGAGATACAATTGTCAATTCAAATCCAATAGTGGTAGAGATAGTAGAAGTATTACTGGTAATGGAGAAAATTAGGATTTGAAGATATTATTCAAGAAGTATAATTCAGTGAGATAAGTTTAGAAAGACAAAAGTAGAGGTGTTAACGAATCCAGAAGATTAGGATTTTAGAGAACACAACAGTGATAAATTTGTTACAGATCATATCACTTATAAAATAATCCAATAAAATATATCAACAATGTATCAACACTTACTCGATAAAATGAATTTGGCGCTAAACTACAAACACGTATCCAACCTAATTCCAAACGATGTGAACCGGAATCATCTTGACGATGTGTTTTTGTATAAATAAAACCACGTAGTTCTACATCAGCTAAACCGATTTGTCCATCATTTTCAGTCATACGCCATCTTGCATGCTCAAAACATACCTAATCAATAAATCAATAATATCATTGTAAGATATTTTTGGTTTTAAAAAAACAAGAGAGATCTAAGCGTAAAATTAAGTGATACCAATAACCTTAAAATTGATCGATCAAACAATCAGTAAGCAGTTCACCAAAAGAATTATCAACAAGGCATTGATAAAAATAGTTTCAACCTTGATTAACAAACGCATTGTAGTTGACGCGAAATCGTTTGAGGTTTGGTAAAACGGGTTGAGTAAGAGTTATGGATATGTTTAATGCAATTAGGAGATTTAGGGTTAGGCTAAAAAGTGAGAGATCGCATTATTTTTTACCTATAAAAGAAAGTGCTGCTGAATGGCCATCTCATGTACAATTTACATCAAATGCACGTATTTCTAATAATTTAGTGCGCATGGATTTTATCATATTTACCGCGTGGCATGTTAGGGACTAAAATGAAATAGGTACTATCATCCGTTACATCTTGAATTTTGAAATTTGATCGGTTCACTCAAAATTAACGGTGTAGTTTCTCTTTTTACCAAGTTGTGATAGTCAAAATTAGTAGATTAATAAGTTAATTTGAAAGAAAAGGAGAATCTCAGATAACCATAAGCACAAATGTTCATGTGACACCTGAATGATTTAGTCAATAAGTTCAAGATCTCAACCAAGTTGTAGTATCACATATGCCATTCACTTTATAAAGTCGTGTTTACAGCTTTACAAATGCGTGCTTGTACTAGGGTATGATCAGAAAAATCTTCTGCAGAATCAATAGCAGTCTTCTATCAAATCACCTCTCCAACGATGACTAATAGTGTTATGATTCAATTGTCTCCACCGTTGAGTCTATTATGATAGTCTCCATATCCGACGATGACTTTCTTTATGCTTAAAGTAAGTGCTTGCTAAAATTAAACGGTTGTCTGAGAATAACTTCTGCAGCTAGTCATCATTCTCTGTTCGCTAATCTGAGGTAGACTAAGTCCTACTCAAATGTCTCTCACTTTGGTTTCAATAAAATACTTGAGCAGAAAAATTTCTTGGTATGCTGACTTTATCCGAGTGTTTGCCTTTTTTTTAAGAGAGCAGAAGGATTTCTAGACAATTTAACCTTCACTGTATTCGAACTAAAGTTAGTGAGACCATGCCTTAATTTGTTCCAGTGAAAATAATTAGGCTTTATTAACCAATTACAGTTGGTTTTACTGCATCTCCTCTGATTTTCTCTATATCGCTTTTTCAGCACCACGTTCGTAGCATATAACTATGAAGCTTCAAATTAAATTCGGAATAAATTTGCACCATGTTTTGAATATTTTATAACAATTATAAACGTATTGTACAATGAAATCCGCCATAATAAACATCAGTTAATGTCTATTCGCCATATCTCTATATTCTTTTATGAGATCTTACTTACATCACTTACTACATTCATTGACTTTTCCAAAGAATTATTCGTTTCCGGGATTCTCAAATAACTTTTACAACGCAGAGTATTGAGAATTGCACTTTTAAATTTGGAAGAAACAAAAATAGCTTACACTTGATCAGCTGTGAAACTGCTTCAACCAAATTCACTATATACAATGATCTTTTTGTTTAGTGAAAAAACTAAAACTAAAAAAATCGTGACAAAGAGACTGATCATTGCAACCCGATTTCACTTTTCTATGAAAAAATATGATGAATGAACAAAATCTCAATTTTTCATAAGCATTTCGTTATTTTGACACAAAAATTGATAATCGAATGTCGGAAATTTTGAAGTATAAACTTATACTACTCAAAAGTAGTATAAAAAAAAACTAAAACAAACAAAAAGAGAGTTTGACAAATTTACCTCACTTCGTCGAACAACTTCCGCTGGTTTACTATCACCACTATCCATTAATGAAGATGATGGCAATGACTTATTGCCACTTTCTGTTATGACAGTTTCAGTAAGTAAATTATTTTGATGAATATTGTTATTAGTCATATTGTTCGTATTTCCATGAATTAAATAGTCTGTAGAAGATGCAGGACGTAAATTTATTCTATTTTGTTGCATAAAAGATTCAGAATCATTATTGTTGATTTGAATTGTGCGATTAAAATCATCATTGGCTGAAGAAATATATGTAAATCAAATTAAAAAAACCAGTAAAAACGATATGTGAATCGATAAAGAAACATTTATATGAGATGACTAGAGTTAATTTTAATTTACATACTAAATGCAAGTCAGTCGATCAATATCAACGCAGAACTTCGTACTTACGTAGATCAGTTCACGTTGCCATACCAAATTAGCACAGAGATGTAATTGTCAATTCAAATTCAACAGTAGTAGAGGTAGTAAAAGTATTAGCAGTAGTCGAAGAGGTTAGAATTAGATATTATTCAAGAAGTAGAATCTAGTAAAAAAACTTAAACAGATAAAGTGGTGAAGAATTAAAAAGTATAGGATTTGAGAGAACACAAAGAATAAATGCACCGGCGCCATTGCGAACGATTTTGAGCCATGTCATTCAAGGTCTCTAACCATCGGTGACTTTCGTCTCGCCGACCCCAACCAGGTAGCCTACATTTACCAGCATGACTCAGTACAGTACACTCGTCCTTTGATTAGAGAACGGATATCACGCCTACGCCATAAGTGACGCAGGTTGGCAAAAGCCAATCGAGCCTTCTGTATCCGAGCTGAGATTTCGTCAGTCACAAGGCCTTCGGCACTGATTAGACTACCCAGATAAGTGAAGTGGTCTACACGTTCGACTACTTCACTCCCTATCACTAGTTCAGGTGCCGATGCAACCCAGTCTTGAAGCAACATTTTGCATTTCGAGGGTGAGAACCGCATCCCGAACATCAACCTGTATTATCTTAGATAAATTCTAAAATACATTTGAATTAGTGTACTTGATTATTTGACAAAAAAATAATAATAAGCCTTCCATTACAATGAACGACGCATTAAAGAAGGTATACAATGTGATATGATCACAATGAAAGAAAATACAATCATTCAATATTTTTCTGAAGACTTTGAGGAGTTTGTAGCACTTAGTCGTATACTCACATGTCTTCAGGAATTACTCCAATCGTTCCATTTAACCGATCATGCATACATTAGACCTTGCTAATTACTCATATGTTATCTTGAATAGACTTTAAACATGTGCATGAATATTTAGTTGTATAAAGTATGCTATGATAGAATAAATGGAAAGATCCGCATAGCACATGCAGGTGCTAATAGTACTCAATGCTTCCTACTAATACTGATACTGTTAGTACCTCAACTACTCTGACATTTACTACGATAATCATTTTTTCTCGCTGTGTCAATATTTGAATCTATTTATGTATGTTTCTAAAATCTGTGATGTTTATAACTCACTGATTGAATATAAGATACTTTATGAGAGTTGTTGTAGGATAAGTTGAATAGTTATCAAGTTCAGTGTAACAAGTTCGGAACAGCTGGTCCTATCTATTAGTTTGATGATTGATTAGTTTTCTAATGACAAAAAGATGATAAACTGATTGGAATAAACAAAGTGAGAAACAAACTACAACATTGAAACCAAAAAAAAAAACAGTACAAAATCCAAAAAACACTTACATGGTTTTTGCATGAAATTCAAATTAGGATTATTATTATGAATAGTGGAAGAGAAATATTCATTAGTAAATGATAATGATGAACCGGATGATTTATTGATTGGTTGTCGTCGAAATGACATGGCTTTACGTATATGTCGACGTTGTATTTGTATTTGTAATTGTTGATAATGTTCTAAACGTTGTGATAATATGCCATTCAAATCGATAATACTCGATTTTAATTGATTAATTTGAGCTTCTAATTGTCTGTATTAATAATAATCAATAAATACAAAATGTTATTTGAGGCCATTGTTTGACAGAGAGAGAGAGAGAGAGCAGGAAAAAAAAGGTGTGACAAATAGTATATGAATGGAAAACAAATGATTATGTTTTTACGGTGTATAACAAAATTCAATGGTTTGAAACACTATACAGTTGTTGTATATAGCTTAACAGTGGGCACTGCACTTCTCATACATGAAATCTTTGAGATCATTATTTGGATCACGATTGATATCCCGTAAGTAAGTAAGTAAGTAAGTAAGTAAGCAATAGCAGAGATACCTGCTCAGAGTGCTTCATCATCTTAAATGACAGGCAAAATTTAAAAATAACAACAATAATTACAATCCAATTATCTGTTGATTGAGTATTTGAACTCTTTCAAGTAGTCAGTTACAAGGTAGAACTTTGTACATGAGCAAATAAGTTCAGGTTGACATATCTCATCAGACGCAAAAACCCATAGTGGTAGAGATAGCAGAAGTATTAGCAGTAATAGAGAAGATTAGGGTTCAAAGATATGATTCAAGAAGTATAGTTCAGTGAGATAACTTTATAAAGAGAAAGATAGAGATGATGAGGAATTCAAAAGTTGAGAACTTTAGAGAACACAATGAACGAATGCACCTGCGCCATTGCAAATGGTTCTGAGCCAGGTGGTTCAAATCTCTAACCATCGATTATTATCGTCTTGCGGACCCCAACGAGGTAGTCAACACCTACCAAAATGATTCAGTCCACTTGTCAGTGACTGCATGGATTTCTGCTACGTTTTAGTTTGGCCGATTTCTTTCAATCTACTCCTATACGGCAGAAGATAGCTCGACAAGGCAGTCGGCAGTTGGGTATACGTAACAAATGTCCCAACCACCTTAACTGATGAAGTTTCAATACTTCATCTATTGATCTGCCACCCGTAACAGCACGCGAGACCGAATCGGTCACAAACAAATCCTTCCTTTCAAGTAGTATAAAACAGGAATACGTAGCCAATAGGTGAGTGGATGAACATGTAATTTATAAGTTAAGATTAAAAAGTTATGCACTAGAGAGAGCTGAGAAACAAGAAAGTCCTGGCTTCAATGACTGACAAGGTCATACATGAATCGGCATTACTAAAAATTCTCATACTGAAACTATACAGCTATCTAATAGGTATTTTTCATTAAGATCAGCTATGTTGTACAGCATATTATTAAGATAAGGTAGGTTAATTCTGTTGTGATGTTTGGTAATCTGAAAGCTGATACTGATACGCACACTTAATATAAAGATCGAAAGTGAGGAAGGTAGTTAACCATGTGTGTGTGTACTCATGTATATATATATATATATATATATATATATATATATATATATATTAAATTCCTATAATTAAGAAAGCATATTTACATTAGCATAGATGTACACTGCCGTGTCCTACAAAATTCTATTGGCTTATTGATTCAACTCACCGAGCAGTTTGAATACAATTGACTAATTTCAGAGTTAAATTTGCTGTCCTTGTTGACGTATTATTACTAATATTATCAGTAGTAGTATTAGTAGTAGTACAAGCAGAGTAATAAAAAGGTGTAGGATAAAAATAATCCATTGAAGCAGAATTATTAGCATGTAAGCCTAATTCTTGCATAGTTTGTCTAACATATGACCATAAATAATGTTCCAATTGGCGTTGTTCAAAAATCATACGACGTAATGTCTCTTGATCACGTAATATAGCTAAACGAACTTGTGATTCGGACATTAAACCAAATGTTAAACGATTACGTTCCAATTTAGCCTTTACAACGAAAAAGTATACAGAAAACAAAGCAGATGTTGGATAATGAAAAAGAAACAATTTTAAGTGTACATTAATGCTAAAACAATATGTCATCAGTGTATTGAATTGCTGTGATATTAAGACAAAATAGCCGTCAAGTGATGATCAAGTAAATATTAATTGATCATCAGTAAACAATCTACAAACCCCTTTGCATTTTGAATAATTATGCTTTCACTGGTCACTAATGACTTCTAGTTCTAGTAACAAACCGTAAGTAATGAAGTTTAATCAAGTCGAATGTGTAGTAGTCATTCATCACAGCATCATGAAAGATGGTAGTGCAATGTAGTAAACATGAATAACAGCTCAGTGGTCAACAGGTGGAATGTGATTACGTGAGACCAAAAGCCCTGGGTATGATACACTAAGGCGAGGCCACAAATGAGCACTTCTGGGAATCTCCCATGTGAAGATGAAACGGATGTCCAGTAGTTCCAGGTTTACAACTATGATGTAACTAAAACAACTATGCACGGGTTAACAACTACAAAAACTCTATAATCTTCATTAAATTCTTACACACTAGAAATAGAAATGAATTATTGAATAAAATTTATGAAATGAAGTAAACATATGAATTGAATAATTTGACAGTAAGGTAACACCTGTAATCATCTGATTCACAAAAAGTTAAATATTGACATTTGGTGAGATTGACAGGTGAAATTCTCTGAAGCACGATGGCTTATGTTAATTCGCGTAATTTTTGATGTGATCATAATGCTAGTTTGATTATAGAAGGTAGGCTTTACAATGCAATGTTCAAGAACTCTTTGTATGTGTTGAATTATCAATCTATTCGAAGGATTGTTCACTTTTAGTGATAATATATTATATTGTGCAGATTATGTTGAGCTACAGCACTATACGTCTGGGTATATTGATGATAATTCAGCTAACACTGTTACGTTGAAACACTGTCTTTTATAGCTCGGATATATGTGTAACAAATATCATGCTTACTGACTAAACATCATGTATTCTTTGACAACATTGGGGGACTAGGCGAGAGAGAGAGAGAGAAGATTTGATCAGTTCGTGACATAATGACATCATCATTGTATAGAAGAAGACTCATTAGTAGACAGCTAGTGCAGCCAGTGCATACTTTGTTCTGGCCTGAAGGAAAGTAACGAATGCGCTGTGCTGAGGAGTCTTTTTATATCTAAAGGAGAATGTAATCCGATGCATTCCACTTTTCCAATTACTATTATCTTAATTAGAATCAGTTTATGATATGAACAATTACAAACAAAACAACAACAATTTATTAATCAAAATTTCATTGTTTTGATTACTTTTCGTTGTGGTTCAACATACAACAACAGGTCATTGACAATTTCCACAATCATATGGTATTGGAGCTAAACGAAAGAAAAAAACAAACAAATTAAACAATAATATATTCAAGGAAATTAAACATTCTATGTTCAATATTTGCAAAGATACAAAGTTCAAATCAAGTACAACCGAATAATACAAACAGTCAGTCACTAGTATTCTTGAAATGCTCTAGTAGATTTGAATATGAATAATTTCTATGAAAAAGCTCCTAATAACCTACTTACTTTTTTTATGCTATACTTACTTGCTTACTTACTTTCGCCTGTTACCCACAATGGAGCATAGGCCGCCCATCAGTTTTCTCCAACCAACTCTGTCCTCGGCTTCCCTCTCCAGTTCTGTCCAATGTTTATTTATTCCTCTCATATCTTTCTCTATTTCTCGGCGTAATGTATTCTTTGGCCTTCCTCTTTTCCTTTTGCCTTGAGGGTTCCATGTGAGGGCTTGTCTCGTGACGCAGTTAGGTGCTTTTCGTAGTATGTGTCCTATCCACTTCCACCGCTTCTTCCTGATTTTCTCCTTCACTGGAATCTGGTTTGTTCTCTCCCAAAGTTCGTTGTTGCTGATAGTGTCTGGCCAACGAATGCGAAGTATTTTGCGTAGACAACTGTTAATAAACACTTGTATCTTCTAGATGGATGGCTTTGGTAGTTCTCCATGTTTCCGCTCCATATAGTAGAACTGTCTTGACATTTGTATTGAAAATCCTGATTTTGGTTTCGGTTGAAAGTTGTTTGGAGTTACAGATATTTTTAACTGTAGAAATGCAGCCCTTGTTTTGCCAATCCGCGCCCTCACATCTGCATCCGATCCACCTTACTCGTCGATGATGCTGCCCAGATATGTAAAGGTGTTAACGTCTCCCAAGGCATCTCCATCAAGAGTGATTTGGTTGGTGCATGTTGTGTTGCATCGGAGAATTTCGCTTTTTCCTTTACGTATGTTGAGACCTACTGCTGCAGAAGCTGCTGCTACACTGGTCGTCTTCTCTTGCTATGCTATAGGGAAGTTTTTTTTAAAAAGCTGAAAAGTTGAAAATGGCTGGATAGTTGGTAGGTGAATATGAAAGGTATAAAACAGTTATTTACCTATAGGATTGGAAGACAGTTGACTAATATTGAGAACTGATTGAATTTACGTGTTAACACCAGATCACACAGCTCAGTTGGTCTAGTGTTAGGCGCTTGAAACTGGAGAGCTTAAAATCCCGGGTTCATATCCCTAGCGAAGTGTTTGATGAGCACTGTTGAGGAATCGTTTAATTGGACGAAACTACTGTCTGGTGAATCCTCACTTGTTTAATTAAGACCGCTTCATAATATAAACTATAAAACTTGAAAATTCCCATGAACCTCTCATACTAAACGTACATAAACAACAGGAGGATGGGTTAATCTACTTGTTTTTTAAAAATATCCTCAACTTGCATATACATACATATATCAGTATGAAACTTACAGAATTAGTGAAAACATTCAGTGTGTGATGCAACAGGGTAACTGTATCAGCACCCTCTGGATTACGAACCACTTCTGTTTCATCTAATGACTATAAAAAGGGGAAAAAACAGGAAAAAAGTATAGAGAGGAAGGAATAGAAACAAAGTTAGTGTGACAACACCAATGAAACACACCAGACTATGGAATAACTCTTTTCAAATTGAAAAAGGCAATCAATAAAAACTTTTCAGGAGGAATTTCACAAAAATAGATTATGGAATTTTCAGGAGATAATCAAAAATGAAAGTAATCAGATTTGAAATTAGCTAATCAACTGGCATAGTTTTCAGTGGAATATTTGAATCTTTTAATTGTTCACACAATCTGACTGTTTCAAACAGAATGTGTGAAATGATGACTGATGTTTCGGTAATCTTTTTTTAAAGTGATGTTACAGTTTGTAGTGAATTAATTGTCAACCAATTAACTATTTTAGAAATAGTGATGCGATGAAAATCTTTGTAGGGAAGTTGTTAATTTTAAAGCTTAACTGAGGATTTTCGATAGACTTGTAGCTACTACCTTGACGAAGTGGTCAGGCTTGTCTATCGTGATGACCCAACCGAGCTATACTGGCTGGAACATATGTTCCTGCAGGCCCTACCATGCCAGCCAGGTCGATTGGAGAACGATGAGACTAAAAGCAGCTACTCAAGGTCTGAGGGCGAAGTCGTACTGCTGACTGCAGAAGGGTGTGACAGCAGTAAGGTGCTTCCCTCGGACAACCAGCATCTGCAGTGATGCTGCCTTCTCACAAAGAAGGAAGGGTTAGAAAAGGTCGACCTTAAAAGTGTCACGCATCTCTTATCCCACTGGTTTCCGTCGATGGCGGTAAGGGTGCCCACTGAGGGCTTTTAAAAAAGAGCGGAGCTAATCCTCAAAAAATCTTTCATCAAAAGGCCGTGCGTGACCGGCCTCAAGCAGTTGTACCCTGGGCTCTGCGGTCACGCACCAACACTAATCTATCTTCTTTTTCAGATCCCTCAAGAAACAACCTTCCACGGTGTGTGGACAACCGGGAAGTGATAACCGCCCTCATACCCGTAACAGCACACGACCGAAAATATGTACTTGATGATTACTTATGAATAATTAAATTACGGTTGTCAAAGTTCATTCTTGTATTTCATTGTTTGCGAATTGATTTCCACCTCTCTCTCTCTCTCCGTTTTATTTGAATAACGCAAGTATGATCAGGCATGTAGAATATAATAATAATAATAATAATAAAGTCAATTTCGTCAGTCTATTTCAAAGGTTTCTCATCAGCTACAACCAATCCTAACCCCCCAAACCACACAAAAAAAATAAACAACTATGTAACAGACTTTCATTTATGAATTCTCTAAATACATTAAAAAAGTTCCTAATCAGAAAAGGAATAAAACATTCAAATGTAAGAATAAACGTAGTTAAACTTGGTATGTATGTATTTCTATGCCGGACAATAGTAATACACAGTAGAATAGGTAGTGCTACAATTACAAGTAATCATTTTGAGGATAAAACAAGGTTATATATAAAATCAAATAAATATCTGAACATCAATAAGATTATGCAAAAGCATAAATATTAGATGAAAACAGAGGAAAGTTGTAAAAAATCATCTAAGGTTATTGGGTAATCATCAGTCAGTAGCACTTCCCTTCTGTTGTATACATAAGCCAAGTCGAAAAGAATTGATAGCTAACAAACAGCTAGCCTTCGAGAAGTAATTCCTGGAATTCCAGCGAGAAATCGTAACCAGTGTGAAGGTTAAATATGTGAAATAGTTATCCACTACAGGGTAGCAGAAGATTGTAGTGAGTCATTCAATGTCTAGTTCACATGACTTGTCCCACTTGTCTGTTTACCTTGTCACTTATTCGTCGCTTACATGTCTGTCTTATTTTTGTCTGACTATAAATTCCTAGTCATGCTTTATCTCTTAGAGTTGGCTCACTAGCCTTCTCCACATCACTTCATCCGTTCAGTCGCCTATTCAATCGCTTGCCTGCTTTCCGGCGATCGCATGACGATTTTATCTTATAGCGCTTGTAGTCTGCTGTTCTATTTGTGGTGTGTCAAAAATAAACATATTCAACGCTTTGTGTTCACCTTCTGATTTATAAACTGTCAGACGCTAGTTAGTAACGATTGTTTGGACGAGCTAATCACGAAGATTAAGAACACATCGAAATCGGCCACCACAAGATGGCTGCACTCAACAACCGTGAACGAGTTGGGGTTACCAAATGCCAACTCAGCAGTGTATAGGAAGAGTCCGTGTTCGATCTCTTATGACAAGGTCTTCGATCTGTGGTTCTGAGGAGTCCCAAATGAAGACGCAAAAGATGTCTAGCGCTTATTGGTCTCCTATAGCGATGTAGCTAAGACTAGTTTGTTATTTAAACTATACAAAATAACAGTCTTGAATGATAGAATTTGAAAAGCACCACAACTCAAACTTACTAACGGTGGAATTAAATGTGGAAGTGGTAAATTCGCTGGATCAGCAGGTTGATAATGTATGTAAAATACTTCACATGAACAACGAGATATCATACGTTGCAATTGAATAGGACGAATATAATCTGTATTGAGTCCAGTATTCGAACAAGTGATTGTAGCTGTTGTTGTTGTTGTTGCTGTTGTCGTCATCGTAGAGGTTGTAGTAACAGTATTTTTAAGTGTTGCATCATTATGCTCTAATTTTGTACCAATAGTGAATGCACCTGTACGAGTTAATGAATTTTTATTATGATTATTATTATTATTAATATTATTATTACTATTTGAAGGAACTTTTGAGAAACCGACACATGCTGTCACTACACCACCAACTGATCGACCACAACCTACTACTTCAGGTCGTCCACTTAATGCATCTTCATCAGCATTTAAATTATGATGTGTCCAATCACTCACATCAGCTGTAGATAACCATTGGTCAGGTGTTCCTGGTAGAACCTAAGACAGGAAGAAGACGATATAATGGTATTTGCATAAATACAGTTTCACAATTTATATCACAAAATGTTCTTAATTAGACTACCACTGAAAAGCTGGAGATAGTGGACGGCCGCTTCGTCCTAGGACAAGATTCCTCAGCAGTGTGCATCCATAACCTTGTAAAGAGGAATATAACCTATGCTAGGATAAAATAGCCATACGGTGCCTCTAGCTTTTCAATGAAGAAATAGAAAAGATCACTTCGTGACATAAACTATGAAAATTGGATAATCTTCATAAATCCTGTTCTACTAATAAAAACATCTCTTAATCTAAAGATTTCGTATAATTAACATTTGTCAAAAGAATAAAGCTTTGAATAATGTGTGCTGTGACCAAGTTAGTAATCAAACACACTGTTTGGTCCATTTAAAAAAAAAAACTGATAGGCGTTCGTGTATGAACATAGATGCTAGTTCAAGGACATTGTGGGCCGATCTTAGCCATGATACCTAACTAGTAAATTCAGTAATCTATTTTGCATAGTGGAGCTCATTATACTGGCATAAAATTGTCGAATGTGGCTTAATCGGAC